CCGACTTATATAGGAAAATCTTTTTGCTTTATTTAAATTGTCATTGGTAAGATAAGTAAAATGAGTTTCCTACTCATTTTAATCCTGTGGTTTTTTTAGTCAGTGAATTAATTTAGACTACCAAACAGCAAGAAAATAATTCCTAACACATAAAAACTAACTTGCGTTTTGCTTTTAGTAGCTACCTTATTAGCCGTTGATTGGATCACTGAAGTTGCACTTCTTTTTCAGAAATCAGGATTATTAGGTAGTTTCACAATTCTTGCTTAGAGCGAGAAAGTAACTTACGTCTGTGCAGTATCATTTTGGTATTAAAGTACTTTACAGTGCTGTTTTCTTAAGTATTAAGTGATCATGAATTTTGAAACTTATATTATCTAAGTCTAAAATGACTTATGCAGGTTTGTCATATACATCTGTTTCTTAGAAAGGTAAATACGGTGGTTATGAAACGAGCGAGAACTTGTTAGACTGGGTTGTTTCAAGACAGAGAAAGTGGGGGACGCCAATTCCAGTACTTTTTGATGCTGTGAACAGCAAAGAATCTGTTCCTGTACTTGATCAGGATCTACCTGTGTTGCCACAGCATACTAGTAATAGAGAACTAGTGCCATGCGAAAGGTAAGTTCAAATGTGTTTTGGTAGTCTTGTTTTGTTTATTTACGTACAGCCTCATTTTTTTCAAGACTTTCAAGTGGAAAAGGTGTTCGAGAAACAGATACTCTGGACACCTTCTTTGATTCGAGCTGGTACTACCTCAGGTCAGCCTTGCACTTCTCTAATCAGTTTTTTAAACGTGTTTGAATTTAAACTTGAAACGATTTTTTTCATACATGGTTTCTGGTATTAGTTGAGTCTAAATTTAAGTTAGGTGTTCTTGAGCACCATTACTCGTATTTCGTCATTATCTGATTCGCAAGCATTTATAAAATTTTTTCATTATGGGACAATTCAGGGAATGTTTCAAGAAATTTTGATTCTGATTTACTTATTTATTTGAAGTTTTACATTATTTATGCTGTGAGTTACCTCAGTTAATTTAGGTTTTTGGATTCGCATAACGATAGAGAATTGATTAGCAAGGAGAGTTGTAAACAAATGCCTGTCGATGTTTATGTCGGTGGCGTAGAACATGGTTGGTGTATGTAGAACTAAAAATAAACTTTAGCACTTTTCGCATGTGAACATAGCTTTTTAGAACTGGATCATTTTTACCAACTGATTTGGGCTTCTGAATTTGGCTAGACAATCTTACTCATCTTACAGTTCCGTTAGTTTAATTTTTTGTTAGACCAAAGTAGTAGTTTTTTTATACTAAGTCTGAGACAGCGGAATTTTGACACCTTACTCTCTTTCTCCTTTTTCACAGTTTAAGCTCTTTTCATTATTTATCAGTGGGGAATTTTTTGATTTTATTGAATTAACAAACAAATTCAAATTTTATTGGAGGCGTAGAGTAAGATTGAGACTTAGCCATTCACTATATTTCTCAAAACCCAGGAATTAAAATCAAGATAGTGTTAAGTCGTTCTAAAAAATTTTGTCATAAAGAGTCATGTCTGCTGAGCAACTGTAGGAAACAAAAATAGAAATCCTAATGGATGTTAGCATTATTGAATTTTTATGAAAAGTTTTTCAATAAAAAGGCCGTTGTTGGATGCAGTCGTTTTGCTCATCTTTTCCTTTTTTTAACTATTCATTTGTATTTAGGGGACAGTTGTGCTTGTTTCTCCAATTTTTTGTTTTTACAGCAGCTGTGCATATGTTTTTTGCTCGATTTATGTCCTACTTTCTCCACGACATTGGAGTCATGGAGAATCCTGAGCCGTTTGACCATCTTTTGACGCAAGGAGTTGTTCGAGCTAAGACCTTCATACGTGTTGATAATGGAGAATATCTTAAAGAAGCAGATATAATCAAAAAAGGTACTGCCATTCTAAAGACTCTGTTAAACTAGCGCTCCTTTGTGGTAGTTTTTTTTGAATAAAACTTTCAGCGTTTTTAAGGTTCCGAATATGTGGATAGAAAAGACGGCTATGCAGTCCAAGTTTTGTACGATAAAATGTCGAAATCTAAGCATAATGGGGTTGATCCCTTGCAACTTCTGGATAGTGACGGCATTGATCTCACGCGCTTACAACTAATTGCTGCAGCCTCTCCAAGGTCTCATATAGATTGGGGTGCAACTGGTAAGATTTAAATATTCTTAGAAAAACTTTTTACTATTTTCATACTGGGATGATTGTATCAGCTTCTAGATAATCGAGGCCTAAAAAAGTGGTTAAATAGGGTGTCCTCACTTGTCAACGAATATGTGAAACAGCGACAAGTACCTGTTGCACTTGAACCGACAAGTTGCTGTGAAACTGAAGAGGAACTGAGAGCTCTTTATAATGCCGCCACGCGCCACGTAACTTCTTAAATGACTGTTTATTTACGAATGCATTTTTGATTACTGTCAACTTAGCGGTACTGAGATCGATTTAGGTTTCAGCAATGTTCGGCATTTTGTTCAATCATTATGGCGCATTCACACGTTTATCTCAGTTCACTAACGAAATGAAGGTGTGGGAAGTTACTATTATTTAGGTTC